CCTTTTTTCCTTTTTTCCCCCTTTTCCCCTTTTTCCCTTTTTCCCTTATTTTTCCACTCTGCCTGGAGCTTGCAGGGAACAGAGCAGGGGCCTCACCTCTCTTTTTTTTGAGGATGAATCTCTTTTTTTGGCCTTTTTTTGAGGGTGCGAGCCCGCTGAGCGCCCATGGGTGGCCGTGGGGTGATGATGATGATGATGGTCACGGGGGTGATGATGATGATGGTCATGGTGGGGGGGACGATGATGATGATGATGATGATGGTGGTGAAGGTGAAGGTGATGGTGATGAAGGTCATGGTGGCCATGGTAGGGGTGATGATGATGATGATGATGATTGATGATGATGATGGTCATGGGGGTGATGATGATGAAGGTCATGGTAGCCATGGTGGGGGTGGTGATGATGATGATGATGATGGTCCTGATGGTGATGGTCATGGTGGCCATGGTAGGGGTGGTGATGATGATGATGGTCGTGCTGGTGGTGATGGCGCTGGTGGGGCTAGTGATGGTGATGATGGTGGTCATGGTGATGAAGGCCATGGCGATGATGGCCATGATGGTGATGGTGATGCTGGTGGCCATGGTGGCCATGGGGTGATGATGATGGTCGTGGTGATGAAGACCATGGTGGCCATGGTGGGGGTGATGATGATGATGGTTGTGGTGGTGCTGGTGGGGCTAGTGATGGTGATGATGGTGATAATGGTGATGAAGGTAGCCATGGGGTGATGATGATGGTCGTGGTGATGAAGGCCATGGCGATGATGGCCATGCTGGTGCTGGTGATGCTGGTGGCCATGGTGGCGATGATGATGGTGCTGGTGCTGGTGGTGCTGGTGATGATGGTGACGATGACATCGATGACACTGGTGATACTGGTGCTGATGGTGCTGGTGGCGATGTTGATAACGATGGCGGTGATGATGATGGCACTGATGACACCAGTGACGGTGATACTGGTGATACTGGTGATACTGGTGTTAATGGTACCGATGGCGATGTTGATAACGATCGTGATGGTGATGATGATATTAATGATATCGATGATGGTGATACTGGTGATACTGGTGCCGATGGTGCCCATGGCGATGTTGATAACGATGGTGGTGATGACGATGATATTAATGATATTGATAACGGCCATATTGGTGATACCGATGGCGATGTTGATAACGATGGTGCTGATAACGATGATATTAATGATATTGATAACGGGGATATTGGTGATACCGGTGCCGATGTTGATAAGGATGGTGCTGATAACGATGATATTAATGATATTGATAACAGCGATATTGGTGATACCGGTGCCAATGTTGATAACGATGGTGCTGATAACGCTGGTGCTGATAACGATGACGCCGATGGCATTGCTAACGCTGGCCTTGGTGCCGATGACGATGATGATGGTGCTCCTCGTTGGCAGTGAGGGGCCTTCCATTGGCCCAACCCATGGTGCCCCCACCCGTTCCTGCGCCGCCATCCCCCCAAAACCCCCCAAATCCCCCCCAAAACCGGGGGGGTGACGGGGGGGTGACGGGGCCCTCTCCTCTTGCTCCACCAGGGACACGAAGGGACCCGAAGGCCGCCAAGAGGCCCGCGAGCGAAGGGTTGAGGGATCCGGCCAGGAGCGGCATCCCAACGAGGTGAGCGGGACACGGGGGGGGGCTTCAGCTCTTCATCCTCTCGGCCTCCTCCTCCTCCTCCTCCTCATCCTCATCCTCCCCCTCCTCCCGCCCCGCAGATGGAGATGGAGGAGGAGACCCGGGAGATCCTCCTGCCCAACTGGCAGGGCAGCGGCTCCCACGGCATCACCATCGACCAGACGGACGACGGCGTCTTCGTCAAGCAAGTGCAGCAGAACTCCCCCGCCGCCAAGATGGGCGTCGTGAAGGAAGGTGCCGTGCCGGGAAACGGTCTTGTTTCTGTTTTTTTTTTGGGGGGGAAAAAAATACAGGTTTTTGGTCGGGCCCTTCGCAAGGCGTAGGGGTTGAAGGCGAAGGGGATGTTTTGGGGGGGGTCTCAGCCCTGTCCGAGTGCTCAAAGCACTCCTTTCGCAAGGTGGGGATGGAAGGGGGCGTTTTTTGGGGGGGATGAGGGGGGTCTCGCCCCCTTCCAACCCTCTCTTGGCCCTTGCAGGGGACCAGATCGTGAGCGCCACGGTCTACTTCGACAACCTGCAGTCGGGCGAGGTGGCGCAGCTCCTCAACAGCATGGGGCACCACACGGTGGGGCTGCGCCTGCAACGCAAGGGGGACCGCTCGCCGCTGCCGGGGCAGTCCTGGGCGCACGAGGCCTTCGGGGCCGGGGGCGCGGAGGTGGTCTTGGTGAGTGCCGTGGCACGGGGCGAGGCCGGGAGGATGTGGCGGTGGTGGCGTTGGTGGCATTGGTGGCGTTGGTGGTGGTGGCGGTGGTGGTGGTGGTGGTTGTGATGGTGATGGTGGTGGTCGTGGTGATGGTGGTGGTGATGGTGGCATTGGTGGCATTGGTGGCGGTGGTGGTGATGGTGGCCTTGGTGGTGGTGATGGTGGTGGTGGTGGTGGCGTTGGTGGTGGCGGTGGTGGTGATGGTGGTGGTGCTGGCGTTGTTGACGTTGATGTTGGTGGTGATGGTGGCGGTGTTGGTGGCATTGGTGGTGGCGTTGGTGGTGGTGATGGCGTTGGCGTTGACGGGGGTCTCTCGGTTGGCAGAGCGGGGACGACGAGGAGTACCGGCGGATCTACACGACGAAGATCAAGCCCCGGTTGAGGTCGGAGGAGACGGTGGAGACGGAGTGCGGTGGGACGCAGAGCAGAACCATCACGGTCACCAGGAAGGTCACGGCCTACACCGTGGACATGGGCGGGCGCGACGGGGCCGGAGACATCAACGTGGTGGGCCCGGACTTCAAGGTCCGCATCCCGGGCCAGGCTCCGTCCCCCACCCTGGACTGGAGCACGGGGCTCAAAGGGGCATCTCCGGGGGCTTCCTGCTCCTCCGGGGGCCCCCAGCAGCTGGACGTCCACCTCGGCGAGGTCGGGAAGCACCCAAGGACTCAGATGGACTTGAAGCTGCCGGAGAGCCGCCTTCCTGCTGGAGAAACTGGAAAAGCTGTTACGGTGGAGCTGCCGGGGCCTGGGCTTGATGCGAACGGACAGATGGGAGGCCCGGAGGCAGGTTTTCACCTCAAAGGCCCTGGGATGGAGGGGAAAATGGAGGGGAAAATGCACGTTTCTGGCGTGGACGGCCAATTCCACGGAGGGATCAAAGCGCCCGGCCTGGACGTCTCCTTGCCCGCCACCGAAGGTCCAGCGGGCGATGCCGGAACGGTGGGGAAAGTCAAGATTCCCGTGTTGAAAATGCCCAAATTTGGGTTCGCTGCTGCAGGGCCCGGCCTCGAGGCCAACGTAGACGTCGGAGGCGGCCACGTCAAAATGCCGCACGTGGCCCTCCCGAAATTCACCGCAGAAGGGTCCGCCGTGGAGGTGGGGAAGGTGGGGCCCTGCCAGGTAGACGTCGGCGCTCCTGGGGTGGCTGTCAAAGGAGAGTGGACAGGCCCGATGTTCAAAAAGTCCGAAACGCCCCAAATTTCTCTGTCGGACGTGAACCTGAACCTGAAAGGCCCCCACGTGAAGGGAGATCTGGGTGTCGCGGTAGAAGGGGACGCCAAAGGACTTGGCTCTGTCACGAAGGGGCTCAAGGTGGACGTGAAGGGTCCTGGCGCTGAATTTGGAAGCCCAGAAGGTTACTTGAAAGGGCCCGGCATATCGGCACCTTCCAAGGTGTCGATGCCCGATGTGGACGTTAACGTGAAGGGACCCAAACTCAAAGGAGAAATGGACGTTTCTGTCCCCAAAATAGGTGGCCACTTGAAAGGGCCTCAGTTTGGTGTTGAAGGCCCCAAGTTGGGAATGGACGTGCCCGACATCGATGTCAAAGGCCCCAACGTGAAGATGCCGGAGGTGCACGTCAAGGCCCCCCAGGTCTCCATGCCCGACGTTGACTTGAACCTGAAAGGCCCCAAAGTGAAAGGGGACCTGGATGTTTCCGTCCCAAAACTGGAAGGAGAGCTCAAAGCCCCCGGACTTGACATCAAAGCTCCTGGACTCGACATCAAAGGCCCTGGTCTTGACGTCAAAGCCCCCGGACTTGACATCAAAGCCCCCAAAGTTGACATTGAAGCACCAGACGTGGACATCCATGGCCCAGAAGGTAAACTGAAAATGCCCAAACTGAAAATGCCCAAGTTTGGGGTGCCCGGCCTGAAGGGAGAGGTTCCAGACGTCGACGTGTCGCTTCCAAAGGGCGAGGTGGACATTTCTGCTCCCAAAGTTGATATTGATGTGCCATGCGTGGACATCAAAGGCCCAGAAGGAAAAGTGAAGGGCCCCAAGGTGAAGATGCCCGAAATGCACTTCAAGACTCCCCAGATCTCCATGCCTGACATCGACTTGAACCTGAAAGGCCCCAAAGTGAAAGGAGATGTGGATGTTTCCGTCCCAAAACTGGAAGGAGAGCTCAAAGCCCCCGGACTTGATGTCAAAGCCCCTGGACTTGACATCAAAGGCCCTGGTCTTGACATCAAAGCCCCCGGACTTGACATCAAAGGCCCCAAAGTTGACATTGAAGCACCAGACGTGGACATCCACGGCCCAGAAGGCAAACTGAAAATGCCCAAACTGAAAATGCCCAAGTTTGGGGTGCCCGGCCTGAAGGGTGAGGTTCCAGACGTCGACGTGTCGCTTCCAAAGGGCGAGGTGGACATTTCTGCTCCCAAGGTAGACATCAACATGCCAAGTGTAGACATTGAGGGGCCAGAAGGAAAATTGAAGGGCCCCAAGGTGAAGATGCCCGAGATGCACATCACAGCACCCAAGGTCTCCCTGCCAGATGTGGATCTGAACCTCAAAGGCCCCAAAGTGAAGGGTGACGTGGATGTTTCCATCCCCACGATGGGTGCTGATTTGAAGGGTCCCGAATTACACCTCAAAGGCCCCAAGGTCGACATTGAAGCACCAGACGTGGACATTCACGGCCCAGAAGGTAAACTGAAGATGCCCAAACTGAAAATGCCCAAGTTTGGGGTGCCCGGCCTGAAGGGAGAGGTTCCAGACGTCGACGTGTCGCTTCCAAAGGGCGAGGTGGACATTTCTGCTCCCAAGGTAGATATTGACGTGCCAAGCGTGGACATCAAAGGCCCAGAAGGAAAAGTGAAGGGTCCCAAGGTGAAGATGCCCGAAATGCACTTCAAGACCCCCCAGATCTCCATGCCTGACATCGACTTGAACCTGAAAGGCCCCAAAGTGAAAGGAGATGTGGATGTTTCCATCCCAAAACTGGAAGGAGAGCTCAAAGCCCCTGGACTCGACATCAAAGCCCCTGGACTTGATGTCAAAGCCCCCGGACTTGACATCAAAGCCCCCAAAGTTGACATTGAAGCACCAGACGTGGACATCCACGGCCCAGAAGGTAAACTGAAGATGCCCAAACTGAAAATGCCCAAGTTTGGGGTGCCCGGCCTGAAGGGAGAGGTCCCAGACATCGACGTGTCGCTTCCAAAGGGCGAGGTCGACATTTCTGCTCCCAAAGTTGATATTTCTGGTCCCAAGGTAGATATTTCTGCTCCCAAGGTAGATATCAACATGCCAAGTGTGGACATTGAGGGGCCAGAAGGAAAAGGGAAAGGTCTCAAATTTAAGATGCCGGAACTAAACGTTCAGACACCAAAACTCTCCATGCCAGATGTAGATCTCAGCTTGAAGGGCCCCAAACTGAAAGGAGATGTGGATATTTCTGGTCCGAAGGTCTCTGGAGACCTCAGGGGACCCAAAATAGATGTGGAAGGGCCCAAAGTGGATGTTGATATGCCGGAGGTTGAGTTGGAATGTCCGGAAGGGAAAATTAAAGGCCCCAAATTTAAGATGCCGAAGCTGAATATCAAGGGACCAAAAATATCCAAGCCGGACGTAGATCTGAACGTAAAGGGACCTAAAATAAAGGGAGAGGTGGATGTTTCTGCTCCAAAGATAGAGGGTGACTTGAAAGAGCCTGGCATTAATATTAAGGGTCCGAGCGTGAATGTCGAGGTCCCAGATGTCAACCTGGAGTGTCCAGAAGCCAAACTAAAAACGCCCAAGATGAAATTGCCTCATTTTAACGTGTCCGGCCCGAAATTAGAGGGCGCCGACATCGATGTAAACTTGCCAAAAGGAGACATAGATATTTCAGGGCCAGAGGCAGATATCGAAGTGCCAGACGTGGAGGTTGGGGGGCCGGAAGGAAAATGGAAGGGGCCCAAATTCAGGATGCCAAAGCTGAACATCAAATCACCTAAAATATCCATGCCTGATGTAGATCTCAACCTGAAGGGACCCAAAGTGAAAGGAGAAATGGATATTGCAGCTCCGAAGATAGAAGGAGATCTGAAAGGGCCAGAAATAGACATTAAAGGACCTAAAGTAGATGTTGAGGTCCCCACTGTTGACGTGGAGGGCCCCGAAGGGAAGCTGAAAGGTCCCAAATTCAAGATGCCGGACATCAAGACAACCAAGATCTCCATGCCTGACGTGGACATTAACCTGAAAGGCCCCAAAATGAAAGGTGACGTTGACGTCTCAGCTCCGAAGCTGGAAGGGGAGCTGAAGGGCCCAGATGTTGACATTAAAGGCCCCAAAGTGGACATTGACAAACCAGATGTGGAAATTCATGGTCCTGAGGGAAAATTCAAGATGCCCAAGTTCAAAATGCCCAAGTTCGGCATGCCGGGCTTCAAAGCAGAAGGCCCCGAAGTGGACGTGAACCTGCCCAAAGGAGAATTTGATGTTTCTGGCCCAAAGGTGGACATTGAAGGTCCGGAGGTGGACATAGGGGTGCCAGAAGGGAAGGTGAAGGGTCCCAAGTTCAAGATGCCTGAAATGCACATCAAGACAACCAAGATCTCCATGCCTGACGTTGACTTGAACCTGAAAGGCCCCAAAGTGAAGGGAGATGTGGACGTGTCTCTCCCCAAGGTGGAAGGTGAGCTGAAAGGCCCCGAGGTGAACATCAAGGGCCCCAAGGTGGACATTCAGGCTCCTGATGTGGACGTTCATGGTCCTGAAGGAAAATTCAAGATGCCCAAGTTCAAAATGCCCAAGTTTGGCATGCCAGGACTGAAAGCAGAAGGCCCTGAGGTGGACATGAACCTGCCCAAAGGAGAATTTGATGTTTCTGGCCCAAAGGTGGACATAGAAGGTCCGGAGGTGGACATTGAAGGTCCTGAGGGGAAGCTGAAGGGCCCCAAGTTCAAGATGCCCGAAATGCACATCAAGACGCCCAAAATCTCCATGCCTGACATTGATCTGAACCTGAAGGGTCCCAAAGTGAAGGGAGATGTCGATGTGTCTCTTCCCAAGGTGGAAGGAGAGCTGAAGGGCCCAGATGTTGACATTAAGGGCCCCAAATTGGACGTGGACCTTCCTGATGTTGAGTTGGAAGGCCCTGAGGGGAAACTGAAGGGCCCCAAGTTCAAGATGCCCGAAATGCACATCAAGGCTCCCAAGTTCTCCATGCCTGACGTTGACTTCAATCTGAAGGGCCCCAAAGTGAAGGGAGATGTGGACGTGTCTCTCCCTAAAGTTGAAGGCGAGCTGAAAGGCCCTGAGGTGGATATTAAGGGCCCCAAGGTGGACATTGACGTCCCAGACGTGGACGTTCATGGTCCTGAGGGAAAATTCAAGATGCCCAAGTTCAAAATGCCCAAATTCGGCATGCCGGGCTTCAAAGCAGAAGGCCCCGAAGTGGATGTGAACCTCCCCAAAGGAGAATTTGATGTTTCTGGCCCAAAGGTGGACATAGAAGGTCCGGAGGTGGACATTGAAGGCCCTGAGGGGAAGTTGAAAGGCCCCAAGTTCAAGATGCCCGAAATGCACATCAAGACGCCCAAAATCTCCATGCCTGACATCGATCTGAACTTGAAAGGCCCCAAAGTGAAGGGAGATGTGGACGTGTCTCTTCCCAAGGTGGAAGGCGACCTGAAGGGCCCTGAAATCGATATCAAAGGTCCCAAGGTCGATGTGGACCTTCCTGATGTTGAGCTGGAGGGCCCTGAAGGGAAGCTGAAGGGCCCCAAGTTCAAGATGCCCGAAATGCACATCAAGGCACCCAAATTCTCCATGCCTGACGTGGATTTCAATCTGAAAGGCCCCAAAGTGAAAGGAGATGTGGATGTGTCTCTTCCCAAGGTGGAAGGTGAGCTGAAAGGCCCCGAAGTGGATATTAAAGGCCCCAAGGTGGACATTGATGTACCAGACGTGGACGTTCATGGTCCTGAAGGAAAATTCAAGATGCCCAAGTTCAAAATGCCCAAGTTCGGCATGCCGGGCTTCAAAGCAGAAGGCCCCGAGGTGGATGTGAACCTGCCCAAAGGAGATATTGATGTTTCTGTCCCGAAGATGGATATTGAGGCACCGAGTGTAGACATTGAAGGTCCTGAAGGGAAAGTTAAAGGTCCTAAATTTAAGATGCCTGAGATGCATTTCAACGTTCCTAAGATCTCCATGCCCGACATCGATTTGAACCTGAAAGGCCCAAAAGTGAAGGGGGGTGTTGATGTTTCTGCCCCGAAATTGGAGGGAGACTTGAAAGGACCCGACTTGAATATTAAAGGCCCGAAGTTGGATGTTGATGTTCCTGATGTTGACATTGAAGGTCCTGAGGGCAAATGGAAAGGACCCAAGATGAAAATGCCCGATATGCATATTAAGGCACCGAAATTTTCTATGCCTGATGTGGACCTCAACTTGAAAGGACCCAAAATGAAAGGAGAAATGGATGTTTCTGTACCGAAAATAGAAGGTGAATTGAAGGGGGCCGATCTGGAACTTAAAGGGCCCAAAGTAGACATAGAGGCCCCAGATATTGAACTCGAATGTCCAGAAGGAAAGCTGAAGGGTCCCAAATTTAAGATGCCCGACATGCATTTCAAAGCCCCCAAGATCTCCATGCCGGACTTTGATTTGAACCTGAAAGGCCCCAAAGTGAAGGGGGATGTGGATGTGTCTCTCCCCAAGGTAGAGGGAGACCTGAAAGGCCCAGAAGTTGACATCAAAGGCCCTAAACTTGATGTGGACCTCCCTGATGTTGACCTAGAGTGTCCAGAAGCAAAGGTGAAGGGCCCCAAGTTCAAGATGCCAGAAATGCACTTCAAGACGCCCAAAATCTCCATGCCTGACATCGATTTGAACCTGAAGGGCCCCAAAGTGAAGGGAGATGTGGACGTGTCCCTCCCCAAGGTGGAAGGAGAGCTGAAGGGCCCTGAAATCGATATCAAAGGCCCTAAACTGGACATTGAAGCTCCTGACGTAGATATTGAAGTCCCAGAGGGGAAGCTGAAGGGCCCCAAATTTAAGATGCCCGACATGCATTTCAAAGCCCCCAAGATCTCCATGCCGGACTTTGATTTGAACCTGAAAGGCCCCAAAGTGAAGGGGGATGTGGATGTGTCTCTCCCCAAGGTGGAGGGTGACCTGAAAGGCCCAGAAGTTGACATCAAAGGTCCCAAGGTCAATGTGGACCTTCCTGACGTTGACCTAGAGTGTCCAGAAGCAAAGGTGAAGGGCCCCAAGTTCAAGATGCCAGAAATGCACTTCAAGACGCCCAAAATCTCCATGCCTGACATCGATTTGAACCTGAAAGGCCCCAAAGTGAAGGGAGATGTGGATATTTCTGCTCCCAAGATTGAAGGTGACCTGAAAGGCCCCGAGATAGATATCAAAGGTCCTAAACTGGACATTGAAGCTCCTGATGTGGATATTGAGGTCCCAGAGGGGAAGATGAAAGGTCCCAAATTTAAGATGCCTGACATGCATTTTAAGGCTCCCAAGATCTCCATGCCAGACTTTGATCTGAACCTGAAAGGCCCCAAAGTGAAGGGAGACGTTGATGTTTCTGTTCCCAAGCTAGAAGGTGACCTGAAAGGGCCAGAAGTTAACGTAAAAGGTCCCAAAGTAGACATAGAGGCCCCAGATATTGAACTCGAATGTCCAGAAGGAAAGCTGAAGGGTCCCAAATTTAAGATGCCCGACATGCATTTCAAAGCCCCCAAGATCTCCATGCCGGACTTTGATTTGAACCTGAAAGGCCCCAAAGTGAAGGGGGATGTGGATGTGTCTCTCCCCAAGGTAGAGGGAGACCTGAAAGGCCCAGAAGTTGACATCAAAGGCCCTAAACTTGATGTGGACCTCCCTGATGTTGACCTAGAGTGTCCAGAAGCAAAGGTGAAGGGTCCCAAGTTCAAGATGCCAGAAATGCACTTCAAGACGCCCAAAATCTCCATGCCTGACATCGATTTGAACCTGAAAGGCCCCAAAGTGAAGGGAGATGTGGATGTTTCTGCTCCCAAGATTGAAGGTGACCTGAAAGGCACCGAGATAGATATCAAAGGTCCTAAACTGGACATCGAAGCTCCTGACGTAGAGCTTGAAGTCCCAGAAGGGAAATTGAAGGGCCCCAAGTTCAAGATGCCCGACATGCATTTCAAAGCCCCCAAGATCTCCATGCCAGACTTTGATTTGAACCTGAAAAGCCCCAAAGTGAAGGGAGATGTGGATGTGTCTCTCCCCAAGGTGGAGGGTGACCTGAAAGGCCCAGAAGTTGACATTAAAGGCCCGAAACTGGACGTGGACCTTCCTGATGTTGAGCTGGAAGGCCCTGAGGGGAAACTGAAGGGTCCCAAGTTCAAGATGCCCGAAATGCACATCAAGGCTCCCAAATTCTCCATGCCTGACGTTGACTTCAATCTGAAGGGCCCCAAAGTGAAGGGAGATGTGGACGTGTCTCTCCCTAAAGTTGAAGGCGAGCTGAAAGGCCCTGAGATGGATATTAAGGGCCCCAAGGTGGACATTGACATGCCAGATGTGGATGTTCATGGTCCTGAAGGAAAATTCAAGATGCCCAAGTTCAAAATGCCCAAGTTCGGCATGCCGGGCTTCAAAGCAGAAGGCCCTGAGGTGGATGTGAACCTGCCCAAAGGAGAATTTGATGTTTCTGGCCCAAAGGTGGACATAGAAGGTCCGGAGGTGGACATTGAAGGTCCTGAGGGGAAGTTGAAGGGCCCCAAGTTCAAGATGCCCGAAATGCACATCAAGACGCCCAAAATCTCCATGCCTGACATCGATCTGAACCTGAAGGGCCCCAAAGTGAAGGGAGACGTGGACGTGTCTCTTCCCAAGGTGGAGGGTGACTTGAAGGGCCCTGAAATCGATATCAAAGGCCCCAAAGTGGACGTGGACCTTCCTGACGTTGAGCTGGAAGGCCCTGAAGGGAAGCTGAAGGGGCCCAAGTTCAAGATGCCCGAAATGCACATCAAGGCGCCCAAGTTCTCCATGCCTGACGTTGACTTCAATCTGAAGGGCCCCAAAGTGAAGGGAGATGTGGATGTGTCTCTCCCCAAGGTGGAAGGCGACCTGAAGGGCCCTGAAATCGATATCAAAGGTCCCAAGGTCGATGTGGACCTTCCTGATGTTGAGCTGGAAGGTCCCGAGGGGAAACTGAAGGGCCCCAAGTTCAAGATGCCCGAAATGCACATCAAGGCACCCAAATTCTCCATGCCTGATGTTGACTTCCATCTGAAGGGCCCAAAAGTGAAGGGAGACGTTGACGTGTCTCTTCCCAAGGTGGAAGGTGAGCTGAAAGGCCCCGATGTGGACATCAAGGGCCCCAAGGTGGACATTGACATGCCAGATGTGGACGTTCATGGTCCTGAAGGAAAATTCAAGATGCCCAAGTTCAAAATGCCCAAGTTTGGGGTGCCCGGCTTCAAAGCAGAAGGCCCTGAAGTGGACGTGAACCTGCCCAAAGGAGAATTTGATGTTTCTGGCCCAAAGGTGGACATAGAAGGTCCGGAGGTGGACATGGAAGGCCCTGAGGGGAAGCTGAAGGGCCCCAAGTTCAAGATGCCTGAAATGCACATCAAGGCACCTAAAATTTCCATGCCTGACATCGATCTGAACCTGAAAGGCCCCAAAGTGAAGGGAGATGTGGACGTGTCTCTTCCCAAGGTGGAAGGAGAGCTGAAGTGCCCAGATGTTGACATCAAAGGCCCTAAACTGGACGTGGACCTTCCTGACGTTGAGGTGGAAGGCCCTGAAGGAAAGTTGAAAGGCCCCAAGTTCAAGATGCCCGAAATGCACATCAAGGCTCCCAAGTTCTCCATGCCTGACGTTGACTTCAATCTGAAGGGCCCCAAAGTGAAGGGAGATGTGGACGTGTCTCTCCCCAAGGTGGAAGGTGACCTGAAGGGCCCTGAAATCGATATCAAAGGACCCAAGGTCGATGTGGACCTTCCTGATGTTGAGCTTGAAGGCCCTGAAGGGAAGATCAAAGGCCCCAAGTTCAAGATGCCTGACATGCACATCAAGGCACCCAAATTCTCCATGCCTGATGTTGACTTCCATCTGAAGGGCCCCAAAGTGAAGGGAGATGTGGATGTGTCTCTTCCCAAGGTGGAAGGTGAGCTGAAAGGCCCCGAGGTGGACATCAAGGGCCCCAAGGTGGACATTGACGTACCTGATGTGGACCTTCATGGGCCAGAAGGTAAAATAAAAATGCCCAAGTTCAAAATGCCCAAGTTTGGGGTGCCCGGCCTCAAAGCAGAAGGCCCAGAGGTCGATGTGAACCTCCCGGAAGCTGATGTCTCCATTTCTGGTCCAAAGGTTGACATTAGTGTTCCTGATGTGGACATAGAAGGTCCAGAAGGAAAAATAAAGGGCCCTAAATTTAAGAAACCTGACATGCAATTCAATGTTCCTAAAATCTCCATGCCAGACATTGACCTTAATTTGAAAGGCCCTAAAGTGAAGGCTGATGTTGACCCTTCTCTTCCCAAAATTGAGGCTGAGCTGAAAGGTCCTAAGCTGGACATCAAAGGGCCAGAATTTGAGGCTGAGGCACCAAAGCTTGATATAGAAGGAAAGGGCAAAAAATCCAGGTTTAAGCTGCCTAAATTCGGCTTTTCTGGGCCTAAAGTGCAAGGCCCTGAGGTGGATGTAAAGCTTAAAAAGCCAGACGTTGAAATATCGGGTCCTAAAGTTGACGTTCAAGCTCCCGATGTTGATGTGCAGGCAAAATCGAAAGGCTCAAAGTTTAAAATGCCTTTCCTGAGTATTTCCTCACCTAAAGTTTCGATGCCAGACGTGGAGCTAAATCTGAAAGGGCACAAACTGAAAGGAGAGCTAGATCTCAGCAGCCCCAAGTTGGAAGGGGACCTGAAAGGCCCCGAGGTGGACATCAAGGGCCCCAAAGTCAACATCGAGGCACCCGATGTGGACATTCATGGTCCTGAAGGAAAACTCAAAATGCCCAAATTCAAAATGCCCAAATTTGGAGTGTCCGGGGTTAAGGCTGAGGGGCCAGAAGTGGACGTTAGCATTCCCAAGGGAGACCTGGATGTTTCGGGTCCCAAGGTGGACATTGAAGGTCCAGAGCTGGACATTGAAGGGCCAGAGGGGAAGCTGAAGGGCCCCCATTTCAAGATGCCCGAAATGCACATCAAGACCCCGAAAATCTCCATGCCCGACATCGATCTGAACCTGAAGGGCCCCAAAGTGAAGGGAGATGTGGACGTGTCCCTTCCCCAGGGAGATCTGAAGGGACCCGAGTTGCATTTGAAAGGTCCAAAAGTGGACGTGGAGGTTCCAGACGTTGACATTGAAGGTCCCAAAGGAAAGGTGAAAGGCCCCAAATTTAAAATGCCAGAAATGAACATCAAGGCTCCCAATATTTCCATGCCGGACTTTGACTTGAATTTGAAAGGTCCCAAGGCGAAGGGAGGCGTGGATGTTGATCTTTCCATGCCAAAACTGGAAGGGGACTTGAGCGGGCCAGAAATTGATATCAAAGGGCCAAAGGTTGACATCAGCGCACCTGAGCTGGAGGTGGAAGGGCCAGATGGAAAATGGAAAGGCCCCAAGTTTAAAATGCCAGAAATGCACATAAAGGCTCCCAAAATTTCCATGCCTGACACAAGCCTGAACCTCAAAGGTCCCAAGCTGAAAGGAGACATAGATGTCTCTGCTCCAAAGCTAGAAGGAGATTTTAAGGCTCCCGATATCAATGTTGAAGGTCCCAAAGTGGACATTGACATGCCAGACGTGGACATTCATGGCCCAGAGGGTAAACTCAAGATGCCCAAGTTCAAAATGCCCAAGTTCGGCATGCCGGGCTTCAAAGCAGAAGGCCCCGAGGTGGACGTGAACCTGCCCAAAGGAGAATTTGATGTTTCTGGCCCAAAGGTGGACATTGAAGGTCCGGAGGTGGACATTGAAGGTCCCGAGGGGAAGCTGAAGGGCCCCAAGTTCAAGATGCCTGAAATGCACATCAAGGCGCCCAAAATCTCCATGCCCGACATCGATCTGAACCTGAAGGGCCCCAAAGTGAAGGGAGATGTGGACGTGTCCCTTCCCAAGGTGGAAGGCGATTTGAAAGGAGTTGAGCTGGAAATGAAAGGACCCAAATTAGACGTAGATGTTCCTGATGTGGATATTGAAGGACCAGAAGGCAAGTGGAAAGGCCCCAAACTGAAGATGCCGGAGATGCACATTAAGGCACCCAAAATTTCCATGCCAGACTTTGATCTGAACCTGAAAGGCCCAAAAGTGAAGGGGGATGTGGACGTGTCTGTGCCGTCTGTGGAAGGTGACTTGAAAGGGCCGAAAGTTGATATTAAAGGTCCTGAGCTGGATGTTGACGCCCCAGATATCCATCTTGAGGGTCCGGAAGGGAAGTTGAAGGGTCCCAAATTTAAGATGCCCGACATGCATTTCAAAGCCCCCAAGATCTCCATGCCGGACTTTGATCTGAACCTGAAGGGCCCCAAAGTGAAGGGAGACGTTGACGTGTCCCTTCCCAAGGTGGAAGGCGACCTGAAGGGCCCTGAAATCGACATCAAAGGTCCCAAGGTCGATGTGGATCTTCCTGATGTAGAGCTGGAAGGCCCTGAGGGGAAGCTGAAGGGCCCCAAGTTCAAGATGCCCGAAATGCACATCAAGGCACCTAAAATTTCCATGCCTGACATTGATCTGAACCTAAAAGGCCCAAAAGTGAAGGGAGATGTGGACATGTCTCTCCCTAAGGTGGAAGGCGACCTGAAGGGCCCAGATGTTGACATTAAAGGCCCCAAAGTGGACGTGGACCTTCCTGACGTTGAGCTGGAAGGCCCTGAAGGGAAGTTGAAGGGTCCCAAATTCAAGATGCCCGAAATGCACATCAAGGCTCCCAAGTTCTCCATGCCTGACGTTGACTTCAATCTGAAGGGCCCCAAAGTGAAGGGAGATGTGGACGTGTCCATGCCTAAGCTGGAGGGTGAGCTGAAAGGCCCCGATGTGGACATCAAGGGCCCCAAGGTGGACATTCAGGCTCCTGATGTGGACGTTCATGGTCCTGAAGGAAAATTCAAGATGCCCAAATTCAAAATGCCCAAATTTGGCATGCCGGGCTTCAAAGCAGAAGGCCCCGAAGTGGACGTGAACCTGCCAAAAGGAGAATTTGATGTTTCTGGCCCAAAGGTGGACATTGAAGGTCCGGAGGTGGACATTGAAGGCCCTGAGGGAAAGCTGAAGGGCCCCAAGTTCAAGATGCCCGAAATGCACATCAAGACGCCCAAAATCTCCATGCCTGACATCGATCTGAACCTGAAGGGCCCCAAAGTGAAGGGAGATGTGGACGTGTCTCTTCCCAAGGTGGAAGGTGAGCTGAAGGGACCTGAAATCGATATCAAAGGCCCCAAAGTGGACGTGGACCTTCCTGATGTTGAGCTGGAAGGCCCTGAAGGGAAGTTGAAAGGCCCCAAGTTCAAGATGCCCGAAATGCACATCAAGGCTCCCAAATTCTCCATGCCTGACGTTGATTTCAATCTGAAGGGCCCCAAAGTGAAGGGAGACGTGGACGTATCGCTTCCCAAGGTGGAAGGTGAGCTGAAAGGGCCAGAAGTTGACATCAAGGGCCCCAAGGTGGACATTGACGTACCAGAGGTGGACGTTCATGGTCCTGAGGGAAAATTCAAGATGCCCAAGTTCAAAATGCCCAAGTTCGGCATGCCGGGCTTCAAAGCAGAAGGCCCCGAGGTGGACGTGAACCTGCCCAAAGGAGAATTTGATGTTTCTGGCCCAAAGGTGGACATAGAAGGTCCGGAGGTGGACATTGAAGGTCCTGAGGGGAAGTTGAAAGGCCCCAAGTTCAAGATGCCCGAAATGCACATCAAGGCACCCAAAATCTCCATGCCTGACGTTGACTTCAATCTGAAGGGCCCGAAGCTGAAGGGAGACGTGGAGGTTTCTGCACCTGATCTGGAAGGTCCCAAAGTTGAGATCGAGGCCCCTGACATCGACATCAAAGGCCCTGAGGGGAAGCTGAAGGGCCCCAAGTTCAAGATGCCCGAGATGCACATCAAGGCTCCTAAAATCTCCGCCCCAGACTTCGATCTGAACCTGAAAGGCCCCAAAGTCAAAGGTGACTTGGACGTGTCGGCGCCAGGAGTGGAATGTGAGCTGAAAGGTCCCGAGGTCAGTGTGGGCACTCCAAAATTGGACATTGGGGCCCCCGATGTTGACATTGAGAGCCCGGAGGGTAAATTCAAGCTGCCCAAGTTCAAAATGCCGAAATTTTCCATGCCTGGCTTTAAAGGGGAGGGGGTGGATGTGGACGTGAACCTCCCAAAGGGAGATGTGGACATTTCGGGCCCCAGCCTAGAGGTGGAGGGTCCTGATCTCAGTGTGGATGGGAAGCTCAAAGGTCCCAAATTTGCGATGCCCGAAATGCATATTAAGGCTCCTAAGGTCTCCCTGCCCGATGTTGACTTAAACCTCAAGGGGCCTCAGCTGAAAGGGGACGTAGATATTTCTGGCCCCAAGCTTGAAGGTGATTTGAAAGCTCCCCAGATTGATGTGAAAGCCCCCAAAATAGAGCTCGACGCTCCCAGTGTGTCCATTGAAGGTCCGGAAGGGAAACTCAAAGGCCCGAAATTCAAGATGCCCGAAATGCACATCAAGGCGCCCAAGTTCTCCATGCCTGATGTTGACTTCAATCTGAAGGGCCCCAAAGTGAAGGGAGACGTGGACGTGTCTCTCCCCAAGGTGGAAGGGGACCTGCAGTGCCCAGACATTGACATCAAAGGCCCCAAATTGGACATCCAGGCACCCGACGTGAACATCGAAGGGCCAGACGGAAAAGTGAAAGGGCCCAAGATGAAGATGCCAGAAATGCACATCAAGACACCCCAGATCTCCATGCCAGAGATAGACCTGAACCTAAAGGGGCTGAAGCTGAAGGGCGATGCTGACATCCAGGGCCCGAAGCTGGAGGGAGGTTTGAAGGGTCCTGAGGTTGACATCAAGGGCCCCAAAGTCGATATCCAGTGCCCAGATGTTGACATTGAAGGTCCGGAGGGAAAACTGAAGATGCCTAAGATGAAGCTGCCCAAATTCGGCCTCAAAGGGGAAGGTCCTGACGTGGACGTGAACCTGCCCAAGGCAGAAGTTGACCTTTCGGGCCCCAAGGTAGACATCAGCGTCCCGGATGTGAGTATCGAAGGTCCGGAAGGCAAACTGAAAGGTCCTAAAGTGAAGATGCCAGAAATGCACATGAACATGCCTAAAATCTCCATGCCCGAGATCGATTTGAATTTGAAAGGCCACAAAACCAAGGGAGGCTTCGACCTTTCGGCCCCAAAGATAGAAGGCAACCTGAAGGGTCCCGACGTCGACATCAAAGGGCCCGAATTGGGGATCAAAAGCCCTGAGGTCGATGTTGAGGGTCCCGACCTGAACATCGAAGGTCCGGAGGCCAATGTCAAACTTCACAAGTTTAAGAAGCCAAAGTTTGGGTTTGGGATGAAGAGCCCCAAGGCAGACGTCAAGGTCCCGGGGGCCGAGGTGGATTTCCCGGAGGCTGAGCTGAACGTGGAGTCGCCCGACATCAGCATCTCTGGAAAGGGCAAGAAGAGCAAGTTCAAGATGCCGAAACTTCACATGAGCGGCCCCAAAGTCAAAGGCAAGAAAGGCGGCTTTGAGGTGAACGCGCCCGGTGGAGAGCTGGACGCGAGCTTGAAGTCTCCCGACCTGGACGTGAGCGTGGCTGGCCCCGACGTGACGATAAAAGGGGACGCTGCGGTGAAGTCCCCCAAAGGGAAGAAGCCGATGTTTGGGAAGATCTCCTTCCCAGACGTTGAGTTTGATCTGAAATCGCACCGGTTCAGAGGGGACGCTTCCGTTACGGTCCCAGAAGTCGAAGGGAAACTCAAAGCGCCAGAGCTGGAGGTCAAAGGCCCGGGTCTCAACGTGGATGTGGAGGCTCCCGACGTGAACCTGAAGACACCAAAATTCAAACTTCCTGGCGGGGACTTGAAAATGGAAGGAGACCTGAAGGGCGCCAGCGTCGACGTTGCTGTTCCCTCCGTCTCGGTGCCAGACCTCGACCTCAACGTGAAAGGACCAAAAGGCAAAGTGGAAGTCGGCGTCCCCACGGCGGAACTGGGAGGTCCCGAGGGAAAGCTGAAGATGGGGAAAATGGGGCTCGGGGTGGACGTCCCCGATGCCAGCTTGGGTATCTCGGCCGGAGGCGTGGGAGGAAGCGTGAGCCTCCCGAGTGTTGATGCCAAGCTGAAAGGCCCGCATGTCTCCGGACCCGATTTTGATGGAAACCTGAAAGGACCAAAAATGAAGGGCGATCTGGGTGTCGAAGGGCCGAACGTCAGCCTGGGCGCACCGGACGTCAGCGTTGGAGGCTTTGGAGGAAAACTGAAGATGCCCAAACTCAAATCCCCGGACTTGGGCGTGAAGGGAGGCATCGAATGCTCCGTCCCGCAGCTGGAGGCAGATGTGAAAGCCCCGGGTGCAAATCTCCACCTTGGCGCCCCCGACATCGGTCTCAAAGGACCCTCGGTGGACGTTTCGGCCCCGGATCTCAATGTGAACCTGAAGGGAGGCCTCGACGTGAAGTCCCCCATCGCCTCGGTGGGGGCGGCAGAGGTTGGCTTTGAAGACCTGAGCGGCACCATCAAGCTCCCGTCCCTCAAACTCCCCCAGTTTGGTATTTCTGGCCCTGGAATCAACGGGGCGGATGCGGGCGTCAGCATCGAAGGCCCGCAGGTCCAAGGAGGGCTGAAGGGCTCGGGGGCCGGGTCGGAAGGAGCAGAGCTGGAATTGAAAGGGCCTCAACTTCATCTGCAATCCCCCGGCGTTTCCTCGCCCGATGTCGACCTGAAGCTGAAAGGACCAAACATCAAGGAGCCCGGCGCCGGCCTCCACCTCGAGGGGCCGTCCTTGGACGTGTCTGCGCCCAAATTGAACATCAAGGGGCCGAAAATCAAAGGTGGCGCCGCCGTTGCCGGAGAGGCCAGCGTGGCCAGTGGTGGTCTCCACCTCGCCGGCCCCAAGGTCACGGTGGGCGTCCCGCAGGGTAGCGCGGAGGGCAGCCTGGGAAAAGTGTCCTTCCCCAAGCTGCGCATGCCCAAATTCGTCTTTTCTGAGCCCGAAGTGAAGGGCAGGGAGGTGGGGGTGGACGTGGAGTTCCCCGGGGCCGACGTCAGCCTCCAGGAGCCCGAAGCGGAGGACGGCAAGGCCAAGAAGTCCAAGATCAAGATGCCCAAGTTCAACTTCTCCAAGGCCAAGGGGAAGAGCGCGGGGGGCGCGGGGTCCCCGGAGCTGCCGGCCCACGGGGTAGACCTGAAGGCCTCCAAGGCCAGCCTGGGCTCGGTGGAGGGGGACTTGGACGAGGGGACGACGGCCAAGGGCAAATTCTCCCTCTTCAAGAGCCGCAAGGCGCGCCACCGCTCCTCGTCCTTCAGCGACGACCGCTCGGCCCACTCCAGCCCCACGGGGACCCTGGAGATGGAAGGGGCCGCCAAAACCAAAGCCCCCAAGATGAAATTCGGGACGTTCGGCGGCATGGGCTCCAAGACGAAAGGCTCCTACGAGGTGACGGGGAGCGACGAGGAGGCCGCCAAGCCTTCGCGCCTCTCCTCCTCCTCCAGCACCGACAGCACCACCAAGATCGGGGTCCGCATGCCCTCGGTGGAGCTGACGGTGGCCAAGAGGAAGGAGTAGCGGCGTTGTAGATAGGCGCCCGTGTACATACGTCGCCCGCCCGGGGCTGTACATAGGTTTTGTAGCTTAACGACGCCTCCGACAGCAATTAAGGCCGGGCGGTGGACGGAGGCCGCCCGGCGCCGCGCGCTTCGCCCTTCACTATTTGATATTTCGAGCTATTTTGATAAAAAAAAAAAACAAAAAAACAAAATGCCTATTTCCCTCCCAGGTTCTTTGCTCGTTCTCTTCAGTGTTTTGGTTCATGGAAACGTGTTTATTTTTTTATTTTATTTTATTTTATTTTTTTTTTTTTGGCGGGGAGTTGGTTTTTTTTAGTTTTGTTTTCCGCTTCTTTTCGGGCTCGTCAGCGGGGGAGGAAGGGAAAAAAAAATAAAAATAAATAAAAAAAAAACAACGACGAGGCGATGGAAAAAAAAAAAAAACACAAGGAAAATAATCCCGTGGTTGGGTTGCGCAAAAGGGCGCCGGCATCGGGTAACAGGGGCTGGCCGCAGGGAAATGCCTCACGCGGCGGCCTCCGGGGGCGAATTTTTGTGTCAAATCCCAATTTCTGTTATTTTTTTTTATTATTTTTTTTTTTTTTCTGTGGAATTCCTGGTTTTCGACAAGCGGAGGTTGGAGTTACAAAAGGGGGGGGGGGGAAAGCAAAGGATTTAAAAAAGAATAATATAAAAAATAAAAAAAGGATAAAAAAGCAAAAAGTTTTTTAAAAAATATATATAAAAATAAAACCAACGCCCTTTCAGCACTTTATTGGGAAATTAACGGAGAATGTAAAATGCAAATAAAAAGTTTATTAACCGTGGCCTCGGCGCTTCTGTTCACCCTTGGGGAGGGGGTTTGAGGGGGAAAGCCGCCAGCCCGGCTCGGGACAGCGACAAAACCCGAACGCGGGAGCCCCAAAATCCCCAGAAATTGAAGAAAAATCGTCCTTTCCCCCCCCCCGCTTCCTGAGTTGGTTCCTTCCCCCCGCTCCCCCCCCCCCGGTGTGGGAATGGTTTCGCCCCTCCCCCTCGTTTCCCGCCCAACCGCCGCCATCTTGGGAGCGGCCGCGCCCGCCCGCTGCGCATGCGCATAGCGGGGGCGGCGCTGAGGTGAGGGGGGGGGCTGGGGGGGGGGGGGGGCTTTAGGGGGGGTCCGGGGGGGGCCTGAGGGGCTCGGGGGGGTCCCGGGGGGTCCCGGGGGGGTCCCGGGGGGGTCTTGGTGGTGTTGGGGGGGGTCTGGGAGGTTTGGGGGGGGGTCCAGGAGAGGCTGGGGGTGGGTGGGGGGGGGCTTGGGGGGGTCTGGGGGGGTTTGGGGGGGCCTAGGACAGGCTGGGGGGGTTGGGGGGGCTTTGGTGTGGGGGGGTGGCTTGGAGGGTCTTGGGTGGGCTTTGAGGTTTTTTGGGGGGGGGTCCTGTGGGGATTTGGGGGGGGTCTGGGAGGACTTGGGGGGTTCGGGGGGATTTGGGGGGGGTCCTTGAGGTTTTGGGGGGGGGTTCAGCAGGACAGGCTGGGGGGGCTTTTGGGGGGGTCCGTGAGGTTTTTTGGGGGGGGTCTGGGGGGCCTGGGAGAGGCTTGGGGGGGCTCTGGGGGGGCCTTGGAGGGTCTGGGAGGTTTTAGGGGGTTTTGGGAGGTTTTTGGGGGTTTTGGGAGGTTTTTGGGAGGTTTTTGGGGGGTTTTGGGGGGGTTCTGGGAGGTTTTGGGGGGGCTTTGGGGTGCTGTAGGGGGTTTGTTTTCCACAGCTCTTACTCCGCGGTTACTCCAAGGGGTTACAGCTCCGCGCGCCGTTACTCCGGGTGAGTCACGGCCCCGCTGAGTCACTGGGGGGAGTTACCGTGAGTCACGCGTAGCTACTACGGGGGAGTTGTGTACGAGTAAACCACACGCTGTTACTACGGGGGAGTCACACAGACTGTGAGGGACGCGCAGTTACTACGGGTGAGTTGTATACAAGTGAGCCACATGCAGTTACTAGGGGCAAGGTACACACACTGCAAGTGAGCCACATGCAGTTACTAGGGGTGAGTTACACACTACAAGTAAGCCACACGCAGTTACTATGAGTGAGTTGCATACAAGTAAGCCACACGCAGTTACTAGGGGTGAGTTACACACTACAAGTAAGCCACACGCAGTTACTAGGGGTAAGGTACACAAACTGCAAATAAGCCACACGCAGTTACTACGGGTGAGTTGCACACACTGCAAGTAAACAACACATAGTTACTACGGGGGAGTTGCATACACTACAAGTCACACTCAGTTACTATGGGGGAGTTGCACACATTATAAGTGAGCCACACACAGTTACTACAAGTGAGTTACACACACTACAAGTAAGCCACACGCAAGTTATTAGGGGCAAGGTACACACACTGCAAGTGAGCCACACGCAGTTACTAGGGGTGAGTTGCATACACTACAAGTAAGCCACGTGCAAGTTATTAGGGGCAAGGTACACAAACTGCAAGTAAGCCACACGGAGTTACTACAGGTGAGTTGCATGCACTACAAGTAAGCCACATGCAGTTACTATGGGGGAGTTTCATACACTACAAGTAAACAACACGCAGTTACTATGGGGGAGTTGCATACACTACAAGACACACACAGTTACTAGGAGTGAGGTACACACACTGCAAGTGAGCCACACACAGTTACTACAGGTGAGTTGTGTACACTACAAGTAAGCCACACGCAGTTACTACGGGGGAGTTGTATACACTACAAGTAAACCACACATAGTTACTAGGGGTGAGTTATATAAAATACAAGTAAGCCACACGCAGTTACTAGGGGCAAGGTACACACAGTGCAAGTGTAACACGTAGTTACTACCAGTGAGACATATACAATACAAG